GTCATTCAGGACAATAAATTTTACTTATATTTTGCTCAAAAACAATGTCGAAATATATAAAAACCAATTATCAACGTAACCATTAATGCAAATACGAGTCATTTGGTTGAAATATGAGTTAGAAGCTGGACGTAACCAAGAATTCAAATGCAAATACGAGTCAGTTGTTTGAAATATGAGTCACAAGCAAAGGTAAAAAGCACAACGTACCCTTTTTATAACTTTGATCGAGTCTTCATCTCTGCTTTACCATTCTCTAAAATCCTAACCCTAATTTCTAGTTCGCTAATCGGAATCAAAGAATGTATCATAACTTTGATTAACCAATTTATTTTGTGTTTTGCTTATATTTTACTTATATTTTTCTTGAAAACAATGTCGAAATATATAAATACCAATTGATTACGTAACCACTAATGCAAATATGAGTCATTTGGTTGAAATACGAATTAGAACCTAGAAGTAACCAAGGATTCAAATGCAAATACGAGTCATTTGGTTGAAATATGAGTCAAAAGCAAAGGTAAAAAGTACAAGGTACCCTTCTTATAACTTCGATCGAGTCTTCATCTCTGCTTCACCATTCTCTATAACCCCAACCATAATTTCTAGTTCGCTAATTGGAATCAAAGAATGTATCCATACGGTCACAAGGATCTCGGTTCAATCGTCGACGAGGTAGCAAATTGTGGCAATAATTTTTTGTATACATATACACACCAAAACGAATGAAAAACAAGAAAGGTGAACAATTTATTTTAAAAATTCGATTACAAACTATTTAATAGATGTTGTCTCCAAATTTTACATAAAGTATCTATTGTCTTTTAAATATTTCTAGGACCCCCAAAATCTATCATATGTTTGACCCTAAATTGTGAATGTAAGTCATCTATCACTTTATAACCACGTGTGTTATCCGAGAATGTCTCTGTATTTTTTACCCGATCATGAATCTCAAACTTCTCGTTGACTGTAATTATGTTAGAGATAAAGTATACTTACATTGAGCATTAATCTATTTTGATCATACTCTATCGTTAAGAAGATTCTATGTACGTCTACACTTTACTAATTTTTTTTAGGGTTTTA